AATGTAAATGTAATGTAAATGTAATGAAATGTAATGTAATGTAATGTAATGTAATGTAATGTAATGTAATGTAATGTAATGTAATGTGATGTAATGTAATGTAATGTAATGTATTTACATCTCTGTAGACTTGTATGCATATATATATATATGTACATGTTCGTTTGCCACTATATTTGTTCTGTAAACCCGTATATAGACAGAGACAGATAGTAGGTAGAGATATAGATATAGGAGTTCGTATAGATATAGATACATTATGGCATTATGGTTGTCTGCCGAGACGCTGGTGGAACCGAAAGGGCAAATTGCAACCGGCAGAGGCCAATCGCGCCCGTGATCCTCAGCTTAGGGTATCTAAGCCCTAAAGCTCAAACCTAGGAATTTTTGGGTTAAGTTACGTCTACAAACAGACTGCAGACACTTCGAGCGACAACACCGGGTTCTTGGGGCTTAGGGTGTTGCAATAGCTGTTGAAGGTTGTCAGCCTTGCGAGGCTGCGCTCACGTCTACACGATCGGTGCATACCCGAAACTCCTAGGCAGCTAAAGCTATAGATCCGAGCATCAGCCCTACTGTAGGAGCCTCAATTTGTAGAACAGGATTTAGGGGTTTTTTTGTGCTATAGAATATGTGCGCTTCAAAAACATGAAAAACATTTAAGGAGAAGTCTTGCTAATCATTTCGACCCTTACCCCGGGGCTCTAGCAAATCAAGGGCCACCGGCTACCATATGATATGGCCAGTTAGGCTAGTTACATACTATTTTAGTAACCTGGAACCATCGAGCTATGTTACATCTTGGTGCCAGAAGTCACGACGTCTTTGCTGCGGTTGTTGGGGATCTGAGTTTTGGGGCTGATTGACCTTCTTCTGCTGTATCTCAGCCCTTTGATCGCTTGGGTTTCCATTTTTGGGCCGGGGCTCGGGGCTGCGCATCCCAAATTTCGAAGCCCTCGTGAGCCCCTATATATACCCCTAAACCCTAAGTAGGGAGCCCCAGACCTGGTTTTTGGGGTCGGTCTGAGCCTTAGCAGCTGCCTCTGACCTTGTGCTGTCTATTTGGTGCCTGAAGCTTCTTTTAGGTTTAGGGTTTAGGGTGCCATGGCGTGCAACCCAAAAGACCTGCCTGTCTGCTGTTACTACTACTACTGCTACT